AATTCCCTCGTCCTCTTCTGGTGAGATCGATCTACGAATCTCTTCTTCATGCACTTTTATACGAAATGAAAATGTCCCCCAACAATGTTAGCTCAGGAGATTCATCGTCACCCAGTTTCTCTTCACACCTGCTTTCTTTAAGCACCCCAGGCCACTTAGGGTGATCTAAGGATTGATATAGAAATATCCCACACTGAAATGAGTTAGCCCCACGATAGCATCACACTACGGGTTATAAAGAAGAATTGGACTAAAGATTTAAAAAATAAATCTGTCACCTGTAATCCGAACTCGAATGTGTCCTAAAGTGGACAAACGAAATGTGCTAGACAAGCTGACTGGCCCTAGCATAAATGATCACACACAATCCACAGGCTGGTTTCTCCTAGAGTCTCGAGGTAAGCGAAATAAACTGGTCTCGTCAGTCATGTTTTGACCCCTCACCTTGGCCTTTGGTGGACAACAGCATATGAAGAATGGAAACCGTTTCTCCAATTGGGCTCGGAACTTCGGGTGCATGAGCGAGTAGATAATCGGGTTCCAAACGGCCGAGCTTTTGGCAGCTAAGACAGGCAATTCAGCTGCAAATGGTGTCAAATGGTCGCGGCGGCCAAGTAGCGCCATAAGTGCCACGCTTGCATACGGAGTCCAAGAGGCAAGGTAGAGAAAAACGATGACAATGGCCGTTTTTGCCGCCTGCAGGTCAGCTTTCTTGTCTCCTACACAAACCAGTCAACGGATGCAAAGAGATGCGCCAATATAAACTTATTCTTTTACCAGTGCGAATGCGTACCACACACTATTGCATGTGGCCCAAATAAGCCTGATAGACGAATTATAATTGGGTTAAATTTTAACGTAGAAAAAAATATATTGAAGACAGAAAAAAATCTGCAACACAAACTTCTCATATATACATATATATATATATAAGGGTATCTATATTAGATATATTTTATGTCATATATATTATTATATTATCCAAAAAAATAAATAATTAATTATATATTTATAAATACTCTAGGTGTACAATTTGGGAACATTCGTGGCCGAATACGAAGTTTATTTCGTCAATTTATGCCTAGATAGAAATTTTCATTCTTCCTATAAACGTGATAGTAAATTTCTCCCCCACTGCTTTTTCCGAGCGGTTAAGGTAAAGATATTTGGAACCCCTAAGCTCATTTCAAACAGCATGTATGCCTAATGTTTTTCGCAATTTTCACCAGTAAAATGTATCCTCAAGCTATGTTGTCGGCTGAAACGGTTGGAAATTCTGACAACTCCTGCGACAACTCGAAAACATTATAATCGGAATCAGTATTTGATGGGCAGGGAGGCCTGTCCCCGATCCGGTTAAGGGGACATCAATAAGTGGCCATAAGCCATGTGACCTAATTTCTTTTCCAGTCAATCAAAGTGTCAAAAGTAGGATTTAGGCAATCAATTGAGGAAAGAAGTTTGCATTTAGCATAAGTAAATCACCAGGATAAAAAATAAGATAGGTTAAGATAAATTTCATTTTATAATAGTTATGCAATATGAAGAAATAGGATGAGATGATTAAATAATTTAGGGCAAATGTAGATCGCTTTATTTTTCCTGATACTACCAACCTATCAGAATTAGAAAGAGTTGGCTGAACAACTGAGCAAATAAGAAGTCAGAATAAAACATTAAGAAATATTAACACATTTTGCTGTCATGTTTTCTTCTAATAATTGTCGGACCCATTTGAAAATAAACTTCTTATCATGTTTTGTGCTCATTCGGCACGATATTTATGGAGATAACTTGTCGAACTATACCTAGGAGTTTATTTTAGCCCAAAAAACTACTCGAGAAGACTACGACTCCAGAAATGAGAATTAACCAAACAGGGCATCAGATAAGTGGTATAAAACCTAAAGCTTTGCACGATATGGAGACGTCATGGTTAAGCGCAAGATGATGGAGGAGACATAAACTAACAAAACAAACAACGGATATATGAAGTTATGCAAGTACCAACTGGAATGGTTGGATTGAAGTAGTAAGAGGGAGAGAGAGCATGAAGACATGCTGATAACGAGGAGGGGGCTTGGCTTACGTTCCGGCATATCAACAGCCTCTTGAGTGTTGCATACCCACAACACACACGCAACAAGACACCTAAACACTCGTCGGCATTGCTCATTGAAAGGCTAGCTTATTTAGAATTGTGATCGCGTCCACATCATGTTAATGCGTCAAGTTTACTCATCCTTTAGCATGTGGTAAGAAGCCTCAAATAGCTAACCAAGTCATGAAATGCCTTATTTAGATCGCAACATTAGGTACAAGAAGTAAGTAATTTTGAAACAGACCACATTTTCAAGACTAAATGTTTTAGTGTGTTTTTAGCATAAACGTTGTCTTTTATATCTGGACAGACGAAAGCTCGGCACGGACTTTTTGAGTGACGCTTAGGATGAGTTCGTCCAATCCATACTTTCTACTCAAAGAAGCCTCCTTCTGTTTCCGGTGAGATCGGATAACACATCATCTCCGTTTTACTTTTAGAATGAAGTGAAAGATGCACCCGCATAAGTCTATTAAGGCGGTCTTCAAAAGACTGCAATTCTTTATAAAACGTAAGGAACCTTGCTGAATTTTGTTTATATTCAAAAAGACACCGATAACATATCATTTGGTATGAAAGTGCATGATGAAGAGATTCGTAGGTCGGTCTCACCAGAAGACGACGGTAAATTGTCGTTGTGCTGCAGCCGTTTGGCTTTACTACGACGTTCAGGTCGACGCAGCCCACGAGACATCCCCTCGTTTCGGGCAAGAATAGACTGAACAGGGCAGCTTCGATGCGATGCTAACATAAACCAACATTACAGTTGAGGTATCTATTCAAGCGCTGTCACGCACTCACAAAAGCCTC